GAAATGAGCTTGTATAACAAGCCATCATGCCAGACAGTATCGAAAGCTTTTTCGATATCAAGAAGGAACATGCCGGTAGACTGTTTATGATTAAGATGATAAGAGATATGTTCGGAAACTCTGGCCAATTGTTGCACCGTAGAGTGAGATGAACGAAAGCCAAATTGCTCGTTCCGAATAAGCTGTTCTGAGGATCGCCGCAACCGATCATATATCAATACCTCGAAAAGTTTACCTAGGACAGGTAGAAGACTGATGGGCCTATAGCTGGTCGGCAATGCAATGTCCTTTCCTGGTTTTTTCAGAGCAATAACTTTTGCAGTTTTCCACATATGAGGAAAATAACCCAACTTTAAACAACCATTAAATATTTTGGTAATATACACAATAGACTTTTGTGACAAGTTTTTAAGCATTATATTGTGTATTCCATCATCACCAGGTGCCTTTCTAGTCTTAAGTTTACGTACAACTTTCCAGACTTCAGTAGGCCGGACTAGTTGATGAAAATTATCTATGGCATGATTATTTAAGACGGTTATAGCTGATTGAACATCCGTTTCAACACTATCGCTAACCCAGTCGTGGGTTAGGTTCATGTTCATCGCGAAAGTATCTGCTAAGACCTCACACTGCTCAGACGTGTTCGCTGTTAATAAGCCGTCTGAAGTTTCAAGTGGAGGTATTGTGTCAGATTTAGGCTTAAGAGTTTTCACCAGACGCCATAAATCGTTGCCAGGATTGTCAACTTTAGAAAGTTTTGTATTCCATAATGTGTCGTGATATTTTATAATATGTAACTTGATAAGTTTTTGTAAATAATTGATAGCTGATCTTAAGTGTCTTTTGTCTGTAGTTAGTGCTTTTTGTTCTTTACGCCTTAAAAAGTTTTTGTATTTAATTATTTTTGTAATGTAGCTAGGTAAGACATTGTTAGTGTTAATAGGTTGTTTAGCAGTAACAAATTTATCTCTGGCTTCAATGAGGCATTGATGTAAGTGGCCCACGGCTTCGTCAATTTCTGGCTCCGACTTGAACACATTCGAGCTTAGAAATATATGCTGATCAAGAAAAGAACGGTACTTTTTCCAATCAGTGTTAACATAAGAGTAGACTTTAGGAATGGGTAAAAAAAAAAAAAAACCATTGATTGTGAACAGTACAGGAAAGTGATTAGATGATAGGGCTGGTAGAACTTGAATATCATGCATACTATTGACATTCAACGATAGAACTAAGTCAGGATTAGTCGGAGTAAGATCAGCTCGGTAGTTGACTTGAGTGGGTGTATCAGGACAATGTATAATGTAGTCATGGCTCAGCATATGATGGAACAATGTGTTGCCTCGAGTGTTAGTATAACTACTGTTCCAGTATTTATGGTTGGCATTAAAGTCACCCATTACAACCACATGGGGCCCCAGGGAAAACAAAATGTCCAAGTCACCACCTTCAAGCCTTAAATTGGGAGATTGATAAGCCGAAACAAACACGTAGTCCTTACCTCCAATTACCAAGCCAATAGCGACTGCTTCAATATGTTTGGTTTTGGAATAATAACCTGCCGAGCCTCGAGTCTATTGTTGACCAATATGGCTACACCTTGCCCTCGACCACTATGGTGTTTATCTTGACGGTAGCATATATAACCTGGTGTACTAATGAAAGTGTTACTAGTGAGTTTAGTTTCACAGACAGCTATAATATCAATAGATAGGGTACATACCGCCAGATCAAGTAGTTCATAGATTTTAGATCGTAATCCGTCGGAATTCCATGATAGCAGTGATAATTCATAGGAGTTATACATAGTGACCAAGATGGGATAAAATTAACATTACTTTGTCCAGTGTGGACTCGCAAGCAGAAAATTGTGGTTTAAGATTTTTAATACAGATTAGTATTTCTAACATCTCTTTCGTCACTGGGTCATCCGGTGGTATCTCCAGGTCGTCTTTTGCAATGGAATCATAACCTGTGTGGGTCTTAACAACAGCAGCATAAGAAGGTTTCTTAGGTATGGGTAGGGCAACCGCAGGATCCGTAGATAAGTACCTTAATTCGGAGGGTCTTGAAGGTAGATTTTCACGTCTTGCTTGAACACGCTTCAAGTAAGCAAGACGAGACTCGCACTTATGGTAGTTTGCAGGGTGATTTTGTTCACAATTACAACATTGTGCGGGTTCCGTCCGGTCTTTTTTAGGACATTCACTCGTTGCATGGGGTTCCGTACATTTAACACACCTTGCGGGCATATTACAATTTCTTGATGCATGGCCGTAGTTTTGGCATCTGTAGCATTGAGTACCACCAGACTTCTTGGGCATAAATTTTTGAATTTTTACTACACAATTAAATAGATATTTGATTTTACGAAACTTTGCAATATCTGTTCCAACCGGAAGTACGACCAAATAAGGTGGGCAAGTTAATGTACTCACTTCCTGAATCTTTAGTTGTGAGACTGATATTCCTCGGAATCCTAGTTTCTCAAGTTCATCAGGTAGGTCTTCTTTGACATAAGATGGTAATCCTTTTATAACCATTTTGGGGACTTTTTCGTCTTTTCGGGTGTATGTAAGGAAAGCAGCGTTTTCTTTTCGGAGCCCTTCCTTCACAATCTGGTGGACGTCAGACGTGTAACAGATAACAGCAACTTTGTTGTTAGCTCTGTACTGAAGATGGAATCTGTTTGTAAACCGGGAGATTAAGTTTTTAATAGACTCATGGGTCCAGTCTTTCTGTATCTCTAAAATCAGGGGTGGGATATGTCCCGTCTTCTTTGTTCCGGTTGATGCATTGATAAAGCAAGCATTCGTTTCAGATTCGTTCTTATCTTCCACAGGGAGGTCTTTGTATTTATTTTGCAGCGGTAATCTTCGCGACTCGTCGAACTTCTCCGAATTCCGAGCGACAGCAGGACGCTGAGCGAATTGCCAAGGGCCAATAAGGTCTTCACCGGGTCTTTTGGAGGTGGAGTTAAGGTTTCCGGTGGAATCCGACTTCTTTAAAAATTTGTCCATTCTTGATGACGCCCCACTATCGATAATAGGTCGATGTTGTGGTAACGCATCACTATCAATGGAAAAAAATATCTGGCACAGAGAGGTTAAGTAAGTAGACGTACGAGCGCACACGACAAGTGCCGAACGCGAAGTGAGTAATGTATTGTGAAACCAATTTAAAAGGGTATCATTTACTCTGCACAAATTTCTTTCCGCCCATTTTGTTCATGTGACAGCTTGCACGTGCACAAACTTCCAAACTCCTCAGAACTCAATCAAAGTTACTCAAGATTTTCATTATCTCGCCCTATATTTAATAAGTGTGTATAATTACCATTGAGGTTGATATGAGCCCTATCATAATGTCACTGGTTTGTGGCAGCCGGTTCGATTCCTCATACATATTCAGGGGTGCACCCTCGCGTGCTACTAATGAACCTGACAGGGCTGGCATACAATCTATTGTCAGTTGTACTGGTTCAACTTCTTTTGTTAACGACAAATTAGATTTGTTCGCTATTGTCGGTGAAAGGTTGTTTACCTGAGCTGTTGTGGCCTTGTCAGATGTTTTTGCATTTGATTCGATGCTAGTGTGTGGAGATGTTTTCAGTTTTTAATTTGTTATGAAAATCAACTGTCAGTTTTATTACAGAGGTCTCAAAATGCTATTTTTGGACAGCTGTTAGCAAATTCGTAAGCTAATTGTTATTTATTTCACTTTGAAATATTTGAAACACACTTTACACTATAAAGGAGTTTCAGTCACTTAGTAACTTCGACATACTTGTTCTTCATCCAACTTGAAGATGCTCTCCAAAGTGCAGCCGTTACATGCACTTTAAAGCCTTAAAGTGGCGAACATAGCTCGAGTGGGGCTTATTTGAGACTAACACTTAATTTTGCGACCAAGTTTACCGGTATTCGGTAAGTAAGTACCCAATTTGTAACAACTAAGTATACTACATCACTTAAGTCATAGTTTTCTATGGAACAATAATAGCACAATGAATAAAAAGTTGGAGATATTTTACTACACATAATATCACGCCATTCATTTCAGTAATTGAGATGCTAAAACTCATACATAAAGCATGTCCAAAATAGTTTCATATTGTAATACCAATTTACCAACAAATATCATACAAGTTATTAAGACTAATGCTCCAATATCACCCTTGTCACTATCTACCTGTGACATTTTCCTAATAGTACCACTAAAAAGGAAAATTATACTCACATTACACTGATATAAAAGGCTATCGTCGTGTTCATCTTTCCCCACTTTTGCGGCTGGCGGGAGAGTAGGAAAAATATTAGAAAATGCGGGGGTGGCGAACCGCATAATGCGCCTGATATTATTATTGTGGCCAAAACGACGGAACGAATTCAACATTATTCGTCGCCATGCTGAATTAGCCATCAAAATCGCTCGGATGATATTATTGATGGGGTTTTGTTTTATACTGTTATCGCTCTATCAAATGGAAAGGATAAGTGCGGTTTTATTTCTCGGTTCCAATACAGAGAACATGCTTGTTTTGAAATTCCTTTGCAAACAAACCTAGGAACTATAGAGACTTTTTAATAAAGCCTATTTTACTTTGTATTTGTATAAAGTGTAACTAGAGCGAACTGTATCTATTAAACTCCTTCGTTTCTGTTTATGTGAAACAGTGTTACCAATTTATTCGATTTCTAAAGTTTCTTTTGCACTTTCCTTCCCTCGTACAATCACCTGAGGGCTCGTTTAGATTGAAATTTTCATTTTCTTCTCAAAAACAGCCTCCCCTAGCCAACCCCAGCCTCCCTGTTAACCACTGACGAACAGATTTGCATGCACAATTTCTACTTTTGAACTTTTTACAACAGCTTACCTATCTAAAGACGTTAAAAGTACAACAAAAAGTTAAGATTTATTGATATTAAAAAATCCATTAAAAAGAAAATATTTACTGCTACGCCTGTTTATTTATTGTTGTAAAAAAGTAAATCAATTTAAATCCAATGTTTTACCTCGATAGTAGTTTTTCCAGACTCCTGCCATTTCATGAGGTGTTCGCCTTTCAATGACCATCCAGGCGCGTAGCTGATGAGGCCTCCTCCCGCGGCCCCCGCGCCCCCTGGTGGTGCCGGCGACGATCTAGAGCCGGTAACTACGTCGCTTGTCTCCGCTTTCGACTTTTTGGGACTCGTCTGAAGCCGGAAAAAGCTGCGCCCGTGAGTTTTGGAACTTTTCGAGGGGGAGAAGAAAAATGAGCTCTTCTTAGGCGATTTTTCTCTTTCCTCGGTCGATTTAGACGTTGATGCTGCTGTTTCTGCGGCAGGCGCATCTTGAATATCGTTATCAATTGTGTTGCCACTCGCGCTGGGCTTTGGCCCCGAATTCTCATCAGCAACGAACAATAAGGTTCTTTGGACAAATGGCGTGGCTTTATTGTAGAATTCGTAAGGCTCTGGTACTTTAAAGCTGGATGGTATTGTAGTTCGATGTGTCTTCGAGAAGCGTCGTTCCATGTATTTTCTTGCCATATCATTTCATGCACTGTCGTATACATTACTTTCTACGTTTATGTTCATATAAATGTTTTTATCACTTTGAACTGTTAAATAAAATGAGATGTTGTTAAATTGATAGCGATTTCTCGATTGTCATTAGTAGGCGTATATCCTGATTCATATCCTACTCACGAAAAAAGTAAACATCAAGGCAAAATAAACCGAGCAGAATAAATGTATGGCGTCCCCTCGAGTTGGCAAGATAAGCGGGAGGTATTCGTAACTATACGGAACCCCACCTGCCGGGTGAGACCCTAACACTCACTGGATAAGACTTCGTGATACCTAGAAATGACGGCGATTCGTCACATCCACGTACAAATTGGTGAGATTGTGGAAATAAGTGCGTTGATCGAGGGATAATAGAAACAGAATTACGTATATAACGAGAAAGTGCTGGTGTATCGAATAAATTATATTATTAGAATAAATAAAGATTTTGTGGGTTATGCAAAATTAGAAATTTAATATTATTTTTACAACAAAGGCTTGTGAGTGAAACGGTCACGTAAATAATTAAAATCCCCGTAAAACAGTCCTTTCATTACAATACTTCATTAACCTATTTTTAGTCAACTTCTAAAACCAAGACAACATCGATATCCTGTTTTGACTCCAAAACAATAAGTTCAACCGACAAATATCCACTTTGAGAGCGGAACTCAATATTCAACCGAAAAATAACTAATTCCCTTTCATCTCGTTTCCAGTAATTCTATTAGACGATGTTCAGCGACGGGTTGCAATTTTCACGCGGAGGTTTCTACGGGCTATCGATCGCGTGCGTGGGTAAACATTGCTACCCCAACCTTATTGCAAATTATTTGACACTCGTTTCCAAACCTACCCCAAAAGAAACAAAGTCCAAAATTGGTTACAGGGTTTCTTGGATTTGTGTAAGGCTTTTGTAAAAATGGGTTTTGATATTTTTGTGAAATATTTTTTCTTTTACGTTCAAATGTTTTAATTTGTTTGATTGTGGGTTTAAAATAAAAGGAACGGTTTTATAAAACAATAGCTACGAAATGTTCCCTAAAGGCTTCCCTTTGGGAATATGACGATGTAATTACCTATTGAATTCCTAGACCTGTGACTTAATTGATTTTTGAATATTGTTTTGGGACTCATTTGTGATTTACAATAACATTCACTCAAAAACTCTCGTGATAAAAACCACTAAATTACAGCCACAATCTAAACGAACTAAGCACAACGATTAAAGCCTTCAACCTAATTATTTTAATGTGAAATTTATTATTGATTAATTTCCTGCTTTGTTTACGGTTAAACAGTTTCCTAAACAAAGGAAACGTGGAATAACAATAGTAGTGAAAGTAAAACAACACGGAACTGAACCCTCGGTGTTATGTCAGCACGCACTCACTCCACGGCAATCAACCCACGACGTGTTCTGAGTGAAATGTAAATTTATATTATTTTCACACTAATTCTAGTGTAAGGAAAATACTAAGCTTTGTTTGCTGTTCCGTTCATGTATTATTTTTTGGTATAATAATAGTATTCTAATGTTTTTAATTGTCTGAAAAAGTAAACTGTTGGTTAAAATACTATAAGTAGGTACCGATCTCATCGAGTTGTAGAGCATAGGTACTTCGTTCAGAATATATATTTTCATAAAGAGTCAACGAAAACAGAAGACATTATTGTCCATCGGTCGAGAAATGAAAATAAATAAGGTGTCCTACTTACACCTAGGTTTATAATATAATTATTTTAATCAGGTCATGAGGTAGACTTGATGAATCATTAAAGGTAATTAAAATTTCCGACAATATAAATTTACTATCAATAAAACACATCAACATAAACATTTTAATTATAAGTATAAGGTAGTAATATAACCTCATTTGAATCTCATAAAAGCTGCGTACATAATAACTATATCGATTAAACATAAAACATTTTTATACGATGAAATGAAATCAGAGACATGTTTTCACATTCAATCCGTAATATTCATAAATGGTAAGCAGATATCACGGTTTTATGGGTAATAAACACTGTTTTATGGTGCCCTAATAACCTGTGAAGTTTCCTACATAATTGATAAGGAATGATATTTTTGATTGCATTTTTGACACCATGGGAGATTTATTAGACAAGTTTGATGAAACGGACTAAAAAGATTAACCGTCTTAATCAGGTTTCAATATGTTTTATATTTAGGCGGTAAACGAGCAGACAGATCATCTGATGGTAAGCAATCAAGACAACATGGTTGGTGCAGGGGTTAAGCAACCGGCTTTCGCGCAACGTGTCGCGGGTTCGATTCCTGCACGGAGCATCGCTTTGTGTGATCCACAAATTGTTGTTCCAGGTCTGGGTGTCATGTGTGTGTGAACTTGTATGTTTGTAAACGCACCCACGACACAGGAGAAAATCCTAGTATGGGGCATAGCTTTCGTTTTTTTAAAAAAAAATCGGCGTCGCCCATGGCCACCCGGTACACCCGGAGGCGTTTCAGGTGCGTTACCGGCCTTTTGAGGATTTTTTATATCCAGCGTCATTTGGTTAATTGACTTTTAGTTAAGTGACAGTTCAGAGGTGATTGGTTAAAACGACCATGATCTGTTTTTTTTTTAAATGTTTAACATTATTTCTCCACGGGCTTTTGGTCCGGGCCCTTGTCCTATTTTTTTTTACATTACAATACGTCTAATCAATATTTAGGTACCACATATTATACATTCTTAAACATCCATAAGCATGTATGTCTATCACATAATATGTCACAAGGTCGAACTGTCATCACATAAGGATTCCCAACACAAAATGTTTTGTTCCATTCCAAAATGGAATTGTCTGATATGCATAATGAATAATCATGTTTGAATTCCCTTGGTAGGAATGTGATTATGTATATTGTATGCTTGGGCTGTCTCAAGAATGTGTTGCTTCGACAGTAATATTTTTGCACAAATGTTTAAAACTTATACGACAATAATTCTTTCATAAACTACGTTTAAGGAAACCGACTAAAACCCCTTCTTTTTTGAAGTCGGTTAATTCATATACTAAAACCTCCTGTGTAACAAACTGTTTTCTGAGAAGCGCATCGAAATTGGTTCAGCCAATCGCGAGATAATCACGCACACACATATATACATACATATGTACAGCTCTAACTGGGAATCTTCTTGTTTTTTATAAGTCGGTTAAAAAACTCTCTTACTAAATTTATGCAACTGAGAATCAGTAGCTCTTATCGACAAAATGATCGTTTTTACAGTTGAATTATTGTTTGTCAATTATTTATCTACCTACTTATAGCAGTTTCATTAATTTCTAGAACAAAAAACTTATACTTAACTGGGACCAAACTTAATAATTTGGCTATCATATGAAAGCTGTAACATACGAAGCGAACAAGTAAAACAATGTACCGCTCACATAAACATAAATAACGTGATCTTTAAAATTGTTACTCACTATCTTAACATCGGACGCATTTTAGTCTGTCCATTACTGGCACAGGAGGTCCGAATATCGGTCGGTTACCGAGTTACCGTTTTGTCGGGAGTCGTGACTGCGATTATCTGTATCGGTACAGGCGGTCAATCGCCCATAAGTCGGCTCGAGTGCCTGACCCCGACCTGTTATTGTCGCCCTAACCGCCACACGTTACTGTGAGCGTTTTTGGATATAATAGATTTGGTGTGAATAGACGTATTGGTGTGCGAACGATGTAATATTTATATTTTAGTGAATATAAGGACATTATATATACTATATTATATAATAATATGTAAAGATTGCCTAGTTGGCCGAGTGGTCACAAGGGCGACTGCCGGGCAAGGGGTCTCTTGATTACTGAGTCGGGCAAAGAATTATTGGGTTTTCAAAAATATCTCAGTGGTAGCACGGAGTCTGGAATTGTGCCCAGTATATGGCATTAGGCTCGTCCCCTATTACATGGGTCTCATAACATAAAATAGTGAAAAGTGGGTGTTACATGGTACAGTGGCATTAAGTGCCGTAATGTGCACCTCTGCCTATCCCTTCGGGGATAAAAGGCGTGATGTTATGTTTTAAGGACATTATGGTATAGTAGTATAGTTTATGAAAAATTCGTATTCAAACTGTAAATAAAATATCTATGTTTTCATTAATGACAAGCTTTTTAAAAACCATATCCATCAAAAATATTATTATTACCTACGAGATGACGACAAATCATTCATTCAAAACTTTTCAACCACACTAATATTTGGGAACTCCGAAAAGACGCCATACGAAAATATCTTTACTTTGAGACAACATTCGATCAGTAGATAGAGAGCCCCGATTTCTTAGTTTCCACAAGAAATTGCTCCCCTCGTGTCCCCAGTTTCTTTTGTAAATAGCTTTCCGATTCCACCTCCGTGGCTCGGCTGGGGGGTTATTACATTTCGATGACATGACGAATTCGGGATGACACACGAGGGGTCCCACTTGACCCGCCGATACAACGCTCGTAAAAACGTTATTATTTACTCGAAAACTCAAGATGTTATATTAACCCTTGCGTTTTTATTTCATGCAAAAAATTACGTATTTTGGTAGCAAAATGTATGTGTATTTGGTTTTTTGATCAAATAACTGTGCATTACCTCTTCTTAAAGGAATTGAAGGATTGCCAATGTATTAGTTACATGTATCTGTTGTTTTAGTTTTAAAACGTTACCTAATAATTAAAGTAAACTACAATTTGTAAAAGGAGATTCACAGCTGCTACTACATATATGTACTTGTACCGCGTACTTAAATAAATCACTGCCATTTGCCATTGTGTCGAGTAAAACTACAGTTTGCGAGCATTTGTAGGCTAATAACTTGTAACTACTAGTCGTTCCTAAGCTCGAAACCTTACACTAACTACTACACGTTACACACAGCCAACAATACGATATTAAGATGTACCATAATAACAGTAAACGGGACTCAAGATAAGAACACTC